CATGACCCCTGTCCCAGTTTTGCTTGGCTGCAAAGCACACTGGTGGGGATGACTGACCAATTGGTCACCCCGTGAGGATACTTCTGATCCTGTTCGGAAAGATGTGATTGCCAGGCTTATTACCCTCAGGACCTGTAGCCATCCATGGGAACATCCGGGAAAACTCAATCCGTAGCTACGAGGATGAAATGAGGTGATAGACAAAGCTCGGTACCTGGCACATGGTGACACAGTGGCCACTTAAGACTTGAGTTTCTGGATGGAAGATTGCAGTACAAAAGCTAAGCAACATTTTTGTGTGTGTGGTGGACAGGCAATTTGCTTTTTAAAAAATGATTATTATTTTTTAATTTAAAGCAGTTCTAGGGATTGAATCCTAGGCTTTTGCACTGAGCTACATCCCTAGCCCATTTTTAATTTTTATTTTAAGACAGGGTCTTGCTAAGTGGCCCAGGTTGGGCTCCAACATGTGATCCTTCTGTTCAGCCTCCCAGAGAATTTGGATTATAGGAACGTGTCACCACACCCAGTTGTTAAGCAATACTTCTAAGAGTAGCACAGAGGAATAGCATGTGTGTGCCTGTGTGCACACATGCGTGTGCCTGTGCATTTCTTTGTGCATATGTGCTACTTCTCTGGAATTTCCTTGATTTCTAACCTCATGACACCTGGTGTTTAACGTCAGGACCCTAGTAAAACTGTTTCCGAAAGGACTGGTCACTGCTCATACTACACTAGCCAGCTCCACTGTCACTACTAATAACTCTTCCTTTATCTTCTTGATAAAGATAGATAAGGGGCCTTGAAAAGACCCCACTGTAGGGGTCCCATGGTCTTCCTCTTCACTAATCCCCTTCTTGGCTGGCTCCTTTCTCTTCCCCTTGCTTCAGCAAAGTGAAGAGCTGAGACTTAAGACAGACCACCGACTAGGTGAGTGGTCTGGGGCGAGGCATCTCCCCTCTGGGCCTTACCTGTAAGAGAGACGGCCTAGGAACCTACACCTAATGCACAAGGCTCTCGTGAGGACTGAATGCTGACACCACACATGGACAGTGCTGGTTTGGGCCTCGCACAGAGCAAGTGTTCAGTGTGTGCCGTTACTACTTTTACCATGTGAACGCAGTCTTAGGTGGCTGCCAGGAAAGAGTCACACAGACAACTGCAGGCACACTAGTCAGAAGAAAACACTGGAAGGATACATAATAATAAGTAGTTTTAGCTGAGCAGTAAGTAACTGTGTGGAAGATGGTTTTCACTTTCCTGTTCCCCTAATTTTCAATCTCAAGGCTGTGGGGACCACAAGGGAAAGCAGCTGCTGATCAGCCCCTGTGGATACTGGCAGCGAAGACAATAGTGGAGAAATGGAAGGTGAGAGGCAGCCAGGAGAAGTACATGAGTTCAAGATCACAAGATGCTCCAAGACTTAGAAAAAACACAAATGGACAGAAAACCCCCAAATTATCCTAGTGCTCTACTTCTTCCTCTGTGTTTGGATTCACACTTCAAGATAGGAACAGGCTAGGAAAAATGCCTATGTTCTTCTGGAAAAGAAGTCCAAGGATGCAGGAGAAACAATGGAGACACAGTCTGAAGACCACAAACCAGCCACACAGCAGACATTCCAGTCAGAGACACAGGCAAACAGAAGTAACGGGAAATTCCATTGAACAGCCGGAGCGACCACATTTGTACAATGCCTTCCCCTTCATCCGAAGCTGCTGAAACCAGACCCTAATGCCAGAGATGCCTGATGTGGGGCCATCCTCATGCCACTTCCTAAGACTGTGTCCTCTCCTCCTCTGTAACCCTCAGCTAACCATACCAGGAAGCCTTTCTGGCAACAGCACGTGGGGACAGATGATTTAAATTGGGGCACAGGACATGAGTGGCTCCTCTGTGCTGGGGCTTCTGGGTTCTTCCTTTGTAAAGGGACACACCAAAGTGAGAAGAGATTCTGTCTTTGGAGACAAGGGAAGACAGATGTGATGGCCAGACTGGCAGCTCTCTTGGTACCACAAGAAAAAAGGGCATGAAGATGAGAAGAGATCAGAAACCTCGGCTCTTAGTGACAACTGATAACTTGCTACTCTTGGCTTAGGGAATAATAAGCACATTTATTTAAATCATCATTAGTTGGGTATTTTATTACTTTGAGCCAAAAACATCCTAATTATTCAGATAGCAATAGGTGAGCTGATTCCAGAAAGGGGATGCCAAAATCAGCCCAGTATGGTGGTTCATGCCTGTAATCACAGCACTCGGGAGGCTGAGGCAGGAGGATCACTGTGAGTTCGAGACCAGCCTGGGCTGCATAGTGAGTTCCAGGTCATTCTCAACTACATAGTGAGACCCTGTCTCAAAAAACCAAAAAAAAAAAAAAAAAAAAAGTTATAAATTTTATATTAGACTGGAGCAATATTATTACATATGTAAAGATTGTGAATTATTTCAAATTTTTAATACATTGTTTGGATGCAACTCTATTAGTAAAGACAGTGCTACAACAATACTACTGCTGATTTTTAGCTGTGGATATTTACTTTGTTTTTGGTTTTTTGAGACAAGGTTTGACTAGACAGTTTCCACTGTCCTTGAACGTGAAATGTAGCCTAGGTCCTGCCTCAGCCTCCAGAGTGCTGGGATTACAGGCATGCGCCACAACACCTGGCTCTATAACATCTTCTTTAAAAACAAGAAAAATACAATCTACTTTGATTTTCTTTTTCTTTCAGTACTGGGAATTGAACCTGGGGCTGTCACAATGAACAAGGTCCCAGCTTTTTCTTATTTTTAAATTTTAAGACAGAGTCTCACTAAGTTGCCCAGGCTGGCTTTGAATTTAGGATTCTCCTGCCTTAGCCTCACAGAGTGCTAAAGTTACAGGCGTGAGCCACCACACCTGGCTTTTAAAAAATTAATTAATACTGTTCTACATAGAGAATTTAAACAGATATAGGATGATATTTTAGTCTAAACTTTAAAAGCAACAAAATAAAAACTATTCCAGTGAAGCCGGGTGCAGTGGTGCATGCCTGTAATCCCAGGAGGCTGAGACAGGAGGATCGCTGTGAGTTCGAGGCCAGCCTGGGGCTACACAGTGAGTTCCAGGTCAGTCTGAGCTACATAGTGAGACCCTGTCTCAAAAACCAAAAATAAAACAAAAAACAAAAACAAAAATACTGGGGCCGGGGATTTAGCTCAGTGGTTCGGTGGCCTGCCTTACAAGCGCAAGGACCAGAGTTCAATTCCGGTACCAAAAAAAAAAAAAAAAAAAAAAAAAAAACCCAAAAAACTATTCCAGTCAAAAGAGGTTAACATTAGGCCTCCAATAGCAACTCTTACTGAGGTAGTATTTTACCATGGAACTGCTGTATGAGAAAGTAAAGATAAGCAAAATGAGATCTTGCAAAAACAAAACTAAACTAAAAGCAAAAATCATTTCTAGCTCCTCTCTGAATATGTCTACACGAAAGAAACTTCACCACCTCAACATATTTTCCTTACTGAAACTGGAGCTTCAAGTTTGTGTTTGTACCAACACTGTTGCTGTGGAAATAGTTGATTCAACGTTATGAACTCACAGCTGAATAAAGTAAGGTGTGGAACAGAAGTCTTATTTAAACAGTGGCAAGACCCATAAAACATTAAAAAGGCAAACTGAATAGCAGTGAGTCAGAGCACCATATGTTTTAATGTAAGGGTCATATTACTTCTTTCCGATGCCTGACACAAATAGGACGTTTCTTGTTAATTTAGTTCTATTTCTGGCACCCCATAATCATCTCAACTACTCTTCAAAATGCCCTTCGGTTTGCTATCTGTCTGTGTCTATCTACGGCTGGCTGCAGTTGTTAGAACAGACTCTCCATAGATCGGCCGTCTCCAGTACACACCGAAGTCATGGCTCCTGTAGCACCCAAATAAGGATTTCAAAACTTCTGCACATAATGGACTGCGTTAACTGCAGGAGTATCGGCAAATTCATCATACATCATCACTTCAGGACCACAGTCTACGTTCTGACTACAGCTTTATAAACTCTCAAGTGTAAAGGGGAATGAGGATGAGTCCTAAGATCACCTTCATGCCCAACAGCCCAGTTCCCTGTCCTGCCAGTCACCGAGCCCCTGACTGGGCCCCAGTCTCCGATGGGTCAGTATGAGCCTCAAGACAATGTGACACCAAAGGTGAGCATTATAACCCAATTTTGTATTGGTGCTCTGCTCTCCCTCAACTTGCCCTTTCCACTTTTTAACTGGAGATAAACTTCTTCTTCAGAAAACACACACACACACACACACACACTCTTTACTATTCTCTCCTGGTTTTCTGAACCTTTCAAATTATCACAAATATATTTAATATGTACAGTAAAATATTCAACAAGTTTTAAAAATGAGGGTAATGTGTGGGACTATTTAAAAGCTAGACCTTCTCTTGCAGGAGACAGTAACAGTGAAGTGGCTCTGTAAATAGAAACCCAGTCTCCCTCTGCCATGCCTGGTGCCCAGGGTGTGGCTGCCCTCTGCCTGCACAGGAGAGCGATTCATACCAGCAAAACCGGAAAAATCACAACCAAGAGTGACTGTGGAAGCAGGGAGAGCCAAGAGTGCAATGTAAGGAGTTGAGTTTTCTACAAGGTGAGTCACAGGAAACACTGGCCTGGTTGGAGGCATGGCTCACCCACCTCTTTGGGTTCAGAATGTAGGTCAGGGCTCCTTTGGCTTGGTAATTAGGGGATCAGAGGCCACAGGGGAGAGCTCAAAGGCCAGAGGCAGGAGCCCTAGTTACTAGAAGAGCTGGGAAGCCCCCCCGACTCAGCCCTCCGGTTCCAGGTTTGGCCTGCTGCCTCCAGTTCCGCAGACAAGGGTGAATGTGAACTATTTAGTACCTGGCCAGTTCTTCTTCCCATTCTCAATCTGGGCCACCTCTTGCCCTCTCCCCAGGGTGTCCTGGATGACAAGGTAGGCTTGGATAAAAAAAAAAGATGGCTGACTCACCCAGCTCAGTTGACACAGGGGACCCAGAGGCCATCTCCCCGATCTTGGCCACTCCATCGTAGTAGGCTTTTCCTGCCATGATCATAGCTAGACAAGAGAAGTGACACGGTCATCACTTAGGAAAGGAGGAACACACAGGTTTCTTTTCCCCTAAACATTGCTCGTCTCTTGTCCTATCTCTTTTCCTGGCAGGATAACTATAGGTTACTCTAGTACAGTACTTTTCCTCAGTTTTTTGTTTTGTTTTGTTTTTTTTAGACAGGGTCTCACTATGTAGTTGAGACTGACCTGGAACTCACTATGTAGTCCAGGCTGGTCTCAAACTCACATCGATCCTCCTGCCTCAGCCTCCCGAGTGCTGGGATTACAGGCATGCGCCACCACGCCTGGCAATTTTCCTCAATTTTAATGAATATATTCTTAAAAGATTTTATTGTAATCAACATTTTTTTTTTTTTTTTTTGGTACTGGGGATCAAACTCTGGTCATTGCACTTGTGAGGCAGGCGGCAGCACCACTGAGCTAAATCCCTGGCCCAAAAGATAGATTTTAAAGTGAAACATAAAAATAAGGTATGAAAGGGACACAGAATTAATTCATGTATAGGTTCAGTGGATGGGATTGTAGGCCAAAATAACAGCACTCTCACAACAAATTTATCTATTTCAGCATTTATTATAGAGTCTTAAAAACTAAGTTATGGCTTTTACTATATGTCAGTATAAGCTTAGGAAATAAAATGCTCTGCTATATTATTATTTTATAAAACTATGGATGCCCTTAAAGTGCAATTATAAAAGGAAAAGTAACAATTAGCTTTTGTGTAGACGTTTCAGGTCATTACTTAATCTACCTGATAATGTGGAGACAAGTTAGTTATCAGCCCCTGCTAAGGGGGTGGAGTGGAGATATTGTGGGACATTCCCAAGGTCAGTGGTGAGTCAAGAGTAGTGTGCACAACTCCTGCTAAGGCACTTCACTTCCTCAATTCTAAAGTACAATGTTTTTTGACTCTCTGATCTCAGCAGGAACTGAAGAAAAAGTGGCTCCGCCTCAAAACAAGGTGTGCAGCCAGTGAGCTGTCATGTTAATACGTGTGTTTTGGAATGAGGATTTAAAATTGTAAAGTACTGATAAACTGAAAATCAAATTAGTGGGAGAATGGCATGCAGGGTTATACAGAATTCAAACAAAAATTCTGGTTTGCATCCACGCATTGAATTGAAAGTATTAACTGCTGACTTACATTAAAGCCATGTAACCTCAGTCTTGTAAAGTTTCTTTGCTTTTATGATAAACCTGAATTAACTTAAAAATTATAACTTATCCAGAACTAATACAAAATTAGTATTTCTACAATTTTGCCCTCCTTAGTGAACATATTAAGATTGTTTCCACTACTTATTATTGTAAGGAATGAAGCATATTAATTTTATTTTAGTGGTATTTATCTAGCTTAGTCTATATACCTCTAGATAATTTTTCCCTAAACTATAGTTTCATTGGCTTCCTGTTCTGCTCAAAAGCCTTCAATGGCTCCTCCTGTCCATAGCACAAGCCTGTGCTCCCTGGAGTGCACAGATTTTCACATTATGTAATGATCTTCAATGACTCATCCCTCCCAGAATTCTCAGTTTGTGCGGTTCCTTCCACACTTAGGGGTGGTTTGGCCATGTGACTTGCTTTGGCCAGTGTGCTAGGAGCAAGCAGAACTACCTCGGGGATTTGATAAATGCCAGGTATTGGGGCCTGTACTTTGGCATGCCACTGCCACAGAATGAGGATGTAGTCTGGCCTCCCTGAACGGGCGAGAACGTGCCTCAGCCCCAGTCCTGAGACCAGCTCTCTGAAGCAGCAGAAGTGAGCCCCAGGGGTCAGAGAACTGCCCTTTATAAGAGAGATAAGAAACTATGACCTTAAGTCACCAAGCTTGAAGGCAGTTTGTTGTGCAGCAATAGATGACAGATGTGGCATTCCAATGCTCATGTCTGCTGGCCCAATCCCACCTGCTCCTCTTCAGCATTTCACCAGTCCAGTGTGGGCCCTAGTGCTTAGCTGGAATGCTATCTTTTCCATCAGAAGCAGTTTTTGCCGGCTGAAACCCAACTGCTGGCAAGCTCAGCTCCTGCTCCAGTCCACTTTGATCCCTACTGCTCAGATTCCCATGCACTGGTCTAAGCAACACTTTCAGCCATTCATATGTTTCCCTGCTTTCTAATGTAACTGTTGACTGTGCATCTGGCTGGCATCCTGAACTGTACTCCAGATTCTTATAAATGTATCTCAGTTTCTCTGTGGCTTCAGCAAAACCACAACCAGATGGTGGGCAGAAATTCTGGGAATACTTATGAAAGTGCAGAATAATCTCAGGAGGTGTTAAAGTGGTAAGAGCCCTTTTGGGAGAAGACTTTTTAGCAGGAGGATTAGATGCAGGCAGCTCAGTGATTAATCCTGTAACTCTGTCTCAGAGAGGCAGCTCATGCTATGAAGAAAGCAACAAAGACAAACAAGCAAACAAACAAAAAAGCCCACTGCAAGTCATAGTGATTTCCTTTATCTACAGATTCATCTACAGCAATGACTTTGTGGCCTTGTGATCAAACAATCATGGGGGAGAGTCAGCAGAGGAGAGACTCTAGGCACTTGCTCTCTGGAGAAGGCACTGACCCTGCTGGGAGCAAGAACAGTTCCAGACCCACTGCTTTCCTGACATCCAGAGCCTCAGGCAAAAAAGTACAGCGAGGCAGAAGAAAGTAAATAAGCAGTTCACTTTTCCTGGTGACTACAAGAAGGCTCCCTGTCCCTCAGAGCCCAGCCATCATACTGCGTTGTCCTGGGGCATACCTGTGCTGAAGAATGGAAGGTCAAGGGTTTTTTTCAAACTATCAACAGGAAGCAAGCAAAGGTGGGGTGTGATGGGAGAGGAAAAGAAGAGATAAGTAAAAGATATGAAACTTGATCTGAAGCCTTCTTGAGATCTAAAGTGGATGGAAACTAATGTTCTACTGATGTTACTTGGTGGTCTTTGTAAATCAGGGTAGAGGGTGAACCTAGAGCCTAGAGTGTTTTGGGGGGTAACACTTGCTACATGGACAGAATTATCTTAACAAACAGGTTAGAATTTGGTGATTGTTAGCATTTTAAGGTGATAACTGATACATTATAATAGCATTCACCTTTTGTAAGGAAACAGTATGGCTGCATATTATCTTTTATTGGACTGCATTTTTTTTACAATATCTACAAATATGATTATTGAATTTGAACAAATAATACAACAATCTGCCCCAACATCATCATGAAGTAGACTATTTACAAATCTTCACATTTTAAGTACAGTGTTCCTTTTGTGTTTTTGCCTCCTTTTGTCCCTATCAAGGGGCCCTAGTACTTTACCTTGACGGATCCAGAAGGGTGAGGACACTGTGGGGGAAGAGTGGTGGGCTCTTCATAGCACTACTGGTACCAACCCTAGTATGTTGTTCATCACAGGGTAGTGGACCCTCCCAACCAGGTCGGGGGGGAATGCCTGGTGCAAAGGCAAGGGGGGCTTAGAATAGGGTTGGGTAACTCCCCATAGGTACAGACATCCATAGCGTGTTCTGACTCTGCCTGCACCTCTTAACTGAGGAGATGGCAATAACTAGTTGCCCTGGGGAGCCATTAGTCAAGCCCTGGGAAAGGGAGAAGCTACCCATACCAGTCCTCATTCTGTTAACAGCCAGCAAACTGTCCATCTGAAAGTGGGAACAAATGGCAGGTAGGTGGGAAGAATCAGGCTGGTGCTGACCCCAGTCTCTGTCCAATACAGGAAGAATTGAGGTAGCAAATGGCTGAAATGCTCTGACTAGGGAGTAAAGGACATGAGGGAAAGGAAGTTCCCACTCGTACAGAGTTCCCAAAGTTCAGGGGCTGGAAGGAGGCAGACTTTGATGTAAAGTGCTGTAGCTTCTAGTAGTGCTGGGCCCTAGGCAAGCCTGGAAGAAAGCAGGCCAGGCAAGGAACCAGGAACCACACATTCCTGACTGGCATATGCCCTGCCATGCTCCCTGTGGGGGTGGCTGGGAAAGCTGTGCTGGTAACTCTGCCATTAGCCTTTGCTAGCCACCAACCAACTCTTGTCCACACACAAAGCAAACCCCAATTTATACGAGGACTGCCCTGCTCACAGATGAAGGTTCTGAGTCCAAAGGGTTTTTTTGGTTTTGTTTTGATTTTGGTACCGGGGATTGAACTCAGTCCTTGTGCTTCTGAGGCAGGCACCAGAACCACTGAGTTAAATCTCCAGCCCTGGGCCAAAAGAGTTTATTCAGGGTTGTGGCCCCAGCCCAAGCTGCTCAATGGAAGCCACACCTTGAGACTGGAAGTTTCTTACTGGGTCAGCGGGGGTGCTTGTGTCTATCACCCACCAAGCTCACAGGGAAATCCACATGGATGCAGGGGGGATCCAGCTTCACCATGCCCTGAGGAATTAGATTCTTGTATACCCGCCTCAGCTTGGCCTGCTTCTGGCCATTCTTGGTGACGACTGTCTCCTCACAGAACTCTGGGCCAGATCCCCATCCTCCTCACAGAACATGGAGCTGCGGCATGTAAATACGAAGGGAGGCCTTGAGGCCTCACCAAGGCTTGCTCAGAGTCTGCAGTCTCCAGGACACTGCTCCCCACTGCCATGGTGAAGGGTCAAAGGCCCTGACCTTTGGAGCTGCTGGCACCTATGTTAAGGTCGCCATGCGCTCTCAAAATGCAGAATGCGCCTCCATGCAGGGCCTCAGCCTCTGCCCTTAGGTGGTGCTGCTACCACTGCCACTGCCGCCTTTTTTGGGGCTGCATATTATCTTCCCCATAGAAAACTTCTTCAAACCAGTGAACAACTCTAGCTCCCAAAGACAGGCACATGCCAATACTCAAATTCATTTTACATGAGGCACTTATTATCTTTTGAAATGAGATTCTAAGTCCCATCTTTAATTTAGATGTTTTTCCATTCAGGATAAAAATACTACTTCCTATGTTACTTTCAAAAGTGATACGTCTTAAAGCAAGAAATTCTTCTATATATAAAAAAAGAAAACAACACCGTGTACTAGACACTTACTCAAATGTTGTAAGTACACATTTACATGTTATTAGTTCACAAAGAATTTGGTTTAAAAAGCAGAAAATATGTTTTTAGCAATGAAACCAAGCCATACCAAAAAAGCATGATTTGATAGCTAAAATACATCACTTATAGTAACCTTACTGCTGCCATTCAGTTCACTCATTTCAAGTTAATATTATGTACTATTTCTGCATGTTTCTATCCATTAAATTATAGATAATTTCTATAAATTTATACAACTTCTATAAAATTTCCAAAGAAATTTTAAAAATTCAATGTTAAGCTTTTTTTTTTTTTTTTTT